AACAAATACCAGGCAAAATTAGCTAAAAATTGGCCATGATCCTGTAAATGGTATCATAAAAATACCCTATTTATAACTGCCGAAATAGTGTGAAAATTTGCAAAATGATAATAATAATAAGACGGGCTAAAAAGCACTGTATCTTCAATCAATAAAACAAGAATAACAAAAAATTTTCAAAAGGCTCCATCATTTCTCATACGCGATAACCTGAAATGAAGAATTCCGGCAAAGTGCACGTGACTACAATTTCTGTACACTTCTAAAGGAATTGGAACAAAAAGTGAAATCACAAAGCATCCGCCGCAACTGCTGACAAATTATTAGTGAAGTGAATTCCTGACGCTAGGTGCAGCTAGAAAGCCAATATAAAAAAGAAAAAACTAAGACATCATTCTTGTACGTTGTTTAAAGTCACTGTTACATTACGAGCACTTGAACAAGAACATACTTCAGTAGAAATTTACTCACACAAAGGAAAAATAAATAACGACATAAGAACACTGTGAACAACGTTATATTGAATTATTAAACCAAAGCTGCGAAGCGAAAATAACAACGAAGAAAAGAAAGACTACTAGAGACTCACAACTGGCGATGGCGTTCCAAACTCAGGTTCTATGACTAAATTTGTGCAACATTCAATCGTTTCCACTGCTGTCTTCATTGTCAATGAAACGGTGAAAACGTTGTTGAAGGCTGTAAATGCTAAAAACTTTATCACAATGAAAATTAATGATTAAAAAGTGTTCAAATCAGCTGTATTTAGTCAGTAACTACTGAGGAATTGCTACGACACCAATATTTTCCTTTGAAATGCGATAGAACCAGCGATAAACTATAAAACAGAAAATCACTTTTAAATGTACAATTTTTTGAAACGTTTACTGCCGTGAAAATTGCAAACAATAAAAATTGAAATAAAAAGAAGGGAAACAATCTGCCTAGACCCCGGAATTTCACGTTTATCTATCGAAACTTCATACTAGTGGTAAAGTTGAAGAGAAAGTTCAGTCAAGAAATAAAACAGCAGAAAAATGGCTGTAATGTTTGAAATTTCTGCGTTATAAAACCTTAAAAGTTCATAGATGACTCGGGTGCATAAAACATTAAAAAACAATACCAGAAAAAAAAAATTCAAGGTCCACTCAAAATTCAGCATAAAAACTGATGAATAATTACGTACTTGCGTTATTGACACATCCCAAAATTCGAGTTGCGCGAAGAAGCACTCCGACTATCATATTTGAGACAAACGATAAATCGGACTTCAGGCGCCTCATTGCCTAAATAAACTGCCCTTTGTTCAAAGAAAACTTTGTTTATTCATGCATAAATTAAACACCAATAAACTGAAAGCGAAAAAGTGATAGAGGCATCAAAAAATAAAAAAATAAAGATAAAACAAAAAGGAGGAAAAGGCTGCCTTAGTAATTAGTGACATGAGAAAAAAATGAAAAAAGTGAACAAATTAAATACGGAAAAGAACAACAGACGAAAAGATTGAAAAGGTAAAATTTGAAAACAAAAACAACGACCAATGGGGCTGAAAGGAACAATGAACAATGAGAATCTGTCAGTGGAATTGTCCATCGGGCAAACTGCCAATAATGACATTCCATCAAAACAACCGCTTCAGTGCAGCTTGTGTTCGTCCCGTTCGACTTTGCACACATGCCGCTCACGTACTTTATTCTTGCAGGGAACTTATTTTGTTGCTGGCAAAGTTCCACCGTGGTCGAATATCGGCTTAGGGTATCCGTAGTATGGATCACTGCTTGAACTTTTACGAATTCTACATATTTTGAATTTGCTTTGTTGCTGCTCGACTCGTGGTGGTATATTTAATCATTGATCCTTTTTGAACTACAAAAATCTTGTCTGGAGAGCAGCCTCGAAGGAGCTCCCATTGATTGTGCATTTTATTTTCCTTCTACATCCCTGATGCAAAAAGAAATGAACAAAAATTGAGGGATTAGTTTAGTGAAGTCGGAATGAATGGACTTCAGAACACCTCAAAGGCGAATTAAGATGGTTAGGCTAGAACCATTTTGCATGAATAAAACTTTATTGGGAATCTTATGAGGGCAAATAATAAACTGCAGGTCATAGAATGAAAAAAAAAAAAAAAAAAAAAA